TGGTTGGGGGGCCGCGCCGAAAAAGAGGTCACTTTTTTTAACAACATTTCTCAAACAAAAACAAGTGTTTGGGGCCTAAATAAGGCATTTTTTCATCATTTGAGACAAAAAAGTGGGGGTGAAAAAGGCGTTGAAAGGCGTGTATATGAAGTAATGGGTTAACAGAAAATGATGAAAATACTTGAAATTACCCTAAATCGCGTTTTTTCATGTTTAAACATGGCCTGTCATATAAATTTGAAGAAAAATTGTTGTTTTGTAGATTTTTTGATTTTTTTCATTAACCCATTGCTTCATGAGCATTTTGTGAAAAATGGCTGTTTTCATTGAAAAGTCTCCCGTTACAAGTTCAAATTGCTATAATACTATAAAAACTGCTTCAACACTAATCAAACTTGGCACAAATGTTGACTGGACCATTACCCTTGCAACAACATGCTCAGGCTTAAATTTTCTGTTACCATGGCAACGAGGGGACATCTCAAAATTGCCAAAAATCACAATTTTGCGTTGATTTTTTTCCATCAAAATTGATTTCAAAGTGCTGCAACTTCTCAATGGATTGAGATAGAGTCAAATGCTTTTCAGCGTTGGTTACACGTTACCTTATGATCAACCTGGGGTCATTTACAGCCTCTCACAAGTCCAAAATTTTCTTGGCGCTGAGGGAGACACCGCCCCCCTTCAAACCCCCCAAACAGAAGGGGGCACATCCCCCTTCTGGCAACCCCCTGATGTATCTTTTGGTTGGGGGGCCGCGCCGAAAAAGAGGTCACTTTTTTTAACAACATTTCTCAAACAAAAACAAGTGTTTGGGGCCTAAATAAGGCATTTTTTCATCATTTGAGACAACAAAAAGGGGGGGGGGGGTGAAAAAGGCGTTAAAAGGCGTGTATATGAAGTAATGGGTTAATAGAAAATGATGAAAATACTTGAAATTACCCTAAATCGTGTTTTTTCATGTTTAAACATGGCCTGTCATATAAATTTGAAGAAAAATTGTTGTTTTGTAGATTTTTTGATTTTTTTCATTAACCCATTACTTCATGAGCATTTTGTGAAAAATGGCTGTTTTCATTGAAAAGTCTCCCGTTACAAGTTCAAATTGCTATAATACTATAAAAACTGCTTCAACACTAATCAAACTTGGCACAAATGTTGACTGGACCATTGCCCTTGCAACAACATGCTCAGGCTTAAATTTTCTGTTACCATGGCAACGAGGGGACATCTCAAAATTGCCAAAAATCACAATTTTGCGTTGATTTTTTTCCATCAAAATTGATTTCAAAGTGCTGCAACTTCTCAATGGATTGAGATAGAGTCAAATGCTTTTCAGCGTTGGTTACACGTTACCTTATGATCAATCTGGGGTCATTTACAGCCTCTCACAAGTCCAAAATTTTCTTGGCGATGAGGGGGACTCCGCCCCCCTTCAAACCCCCCAAACAGAAGGGGGCACATCCCCCTTCTGGCAACCCCCTGATGTATCTTTTGGTTGGGGGGCCGTGCCGAAAAAGAGGTCACTTTTTTTAACAACATTTCTCAAACAAAAACAAGTGTTTGGGGCCTAAATAAGGCATTTTTTCATCATTTGAGACAACATAAAGGGGGGGGGGGTGAAAAAGGCGTTAAAAGGCGTGTATATGAAGTAATGGGTTAAGAGGAGTTGCGTTCACAAGATTTCGGGACGTACGGACTGATGGACGGACTGACTGACGGACGGACGGACAGACAAGTGCAACGCTATATGCTCCCACATTGTGGGGGCATAAAAAGGTAAAATAAAGTTAAGTTAAAGAGGTTCAGATAAAAGATTTCAGACACAATTTCAACTAAGTTCATCTAGATATACCATTGTCACACTTCATACTTTTGTAAGCACACATACATACAATATGGAAATAAAATAGGACATATAGGTACTAATGCCAGACGTCACAAAATTATAGTCTGAACCTCTTTATAAAAGAAATCAAAACCCCAGCAAAACAACTCTTATAATACTTATTGGAGACAGTAAGTAGATGTGTAGCATTACAGGTGTGGTTAAATATCTGCCACAGACATCATTTTCTATCTAAAATATTATCTGACATTATGTCAGACTCGTCTCCTGCAGAATTATATACTGTAAAACAAATTCACAAAGGTACTTGAAATGCATCATTTCTGAGTAAAGTTTCCATCACCATTAAAATATACAGCGTGGTTGACATACTTCGAGACCACTGACTACCAATTTTCTCTAAATAAATGGTCATGAATATGTTGAAGGGAGTGTGTGGGGATAGGTTTTTCTGTCGAACTATTCAATATCATCCTTGTTAGTATTTTCCCACCGTGTGACAATCTTTTTACAATGGGTTCAATTGTAATAATTTTTCATCCCTTACATTAAGGTCTTTGCTTAGAGCTTTTAAAGTCTTCCATATTTTCATAATATCATATCATATAATTATTTTCTTCAAGCATTTTCAGAAAACCACAGACAAAAGCTTCCATGTTCCACACTGATCCATGTTTGCATCATACTTGCTACAATATTAATGGAGTATACTATTTGTGAAGTCACTCAGTGTGCCACAATCATGGAATGCACTTTTACTAAATTAACAGGATATACTGAATGGTAAAGTACAATACAGCAATTTAGTGAAGTAACATTCGGTTTTAGAGATTACAACGTTCAATAGCTTCAATTTACAGCATACACAATTTATGTAAATTGTAAGGTATATTTTCCTTATGTAATGGTCTTCATACATATTGTATACCTGCATCAAAGAACAAAATATCAATGTAGGATAAGTCTTCTCCTAACCTTTGGCAATAAGTAATACCAAGGTCTATTTAAATTCATTACAGACTAAAAAGTGACAAATAAAGGCAAATATTTCAAAATGTATGCTGGACATCTTCGGTTAAAAACAAACTTCTTTTGTTCTTTAATTTGGTTAAATTTGGGCAATTATCTACATCAAAGAAGTATTTCAAAAGCTTTTGCTATAAAGAAAACAAAAATACAAAATAAACCAACAAAAATACATTTCATCATATACAAATATCATTTCAACTCTTAACAGCTTTTAGCCTTTGCCACCATCCAGGTCCGTCCAACCAGGTTCTATGTTGTTGGTAGTAAATTTATTTTTTTGTATATCGATACAGACTATCCAAAGCCAGAGCTGGGCAAATCCTTTTCAGAAATAAATAAGACTTTAAAGGCATAAAAACAACAACAAAAAACAAAACAGAAACCATTCTGAAATTTGTCTGCTGGTCTATACTCAATGGCATGAGCTTAATACAACCATAAATTTCAGTTTATATCTCCAAAAAGTCTGCCATCTGTATGGCAGTAGCAATTCTTGCTATCTTCTGCTGCAGACAGTTTAATCAGATTTTAGTGATCTTTTATAAGATGCAAATTTTCCTTTATGTTCCATGTTAATCTGATAAATCTCCAAATATTCTACATTATCTTGGAAAACAAAAACAGCAAAAAAACGCTGCTGCTGGAATAGCAATTAGATTTCGTCTGGTTGAATAACATGCATTTTGGAACCAGCCTGGTGTAATCAGTGTCTTTTAGATGCTTACCATGCCTTTCTAAATCAGATAGACAATACAATCAAGCTTCTCCATGATAATCGCTATTCAGATTGTCTTTTGGCACCAAAGATGTGCTCAAGTTGTATGATAATTGGCTCCCCTTCATGAAGTTTATTGCCCAAGTATTTATGTTATCTAATTTCCAGCACTTTTCAAAGTTTTAGGGCATTTTGTGCCTGCATGCAATATCTTAAGCCTAGTATGGACCTTTGGCTATAAAGGCTGAATTTCCTTCTTCTGCCTTATCCAGTCTTATCCCCATAAAAGAGACTGACTCATAAAATAATCCAGGAACTTTTACATTATTATCCATATGACTAAACTTTACTCTCTCAAAACCTTTAAATCACTAATATCCTCAGACACCTGAACATTTCTATCCTCAGACAACTTTACATTACTATCCCCAGACATCTGTCAGATATTTTTATAATACTATCCTCAGACACCTGAACATTATTATACTAAGACACCTTTACATTACTTTTCCAAGATCTTTACATTACTTTTCTCTGACACCTCCACATTACTTTCCTCCGACACCTTAACATTTACTTCCCCAGACACCTTTACATCCTCAGATATCTTTATATTACTATTACATTACTAGCTAATTTTTAAAAAAAGGTTCTCAGTGTTTCAACATAGTTCAGAACAAAAAGGTCGAGACCTCTTTGTTCAATATATTATTGTTAACAAGGTTATAATTTATTATATAATGTAATTTCTTTCACAATTACAGGGCTTTACTAAAATGTTATCAAGGCCAAATACAAAACTGTTGAAAATTCCTCATTATATTAAGATTTAGTATAATTATATGGCCTTTTTTATAAAAACAAACACCATTTTTACATTTGTATTATTTGAAAGTAAGCTATGAAGTTCTGTAAAATTGTCCAGATTTCTTACGTTACCATGCTAAAATTTCCAAACATTAGGGGGCATTGGGTTATTGAAGAACAAAGATAATAAAGTTGCGAAAGACTCAAAAACTTTCATTTTATTATAATTAACTGTACTCTTGTCACCAGCTGCCTGCTGGGAGATTCCGTCTCTAACAGTCTCCGTCCATCATTTTTTGTCTACATTCTTGTCTATATCTGTTGCATCGTCAAATAATCTAATTCATGTAATAATGCAGAAAGGGCCATAACTCTTTCAAAAGAAAAATATAAAGCAACAACAGTGATACACATAACAAAAGTTATGGTCCTTCTCTACTGCCCATATCATCAATTGACAACAAAAATTATAAGCAATACCAATATTAACAACAAAAAAAACAGAAAAAAAAAAAAGAATTTCAGCAAATAATTTTTTAAATATTAAAATTTACTTTCCCAAAATATGACAAAACAATACAAAAAATACAAAGTACATACCTTACAACGTTACACTCAAAGACAATCCATGACGTCTTCACTAGACTTCCAGCCAATGACAAATAATATGAAACTGAAAATAAATTCATTGATGCGTAAGAACAACGTAGGAATTTTTTCAAGCAAAAACAAAGCACCAACAATCCTGTCAAAAACACCACAAAGTTTAAAAATAACCAAAAATAACCACATCACATCTATACAAGTTCATCTGAAACAAGTTCTACTCGATGGAGATGAAATGGGAATAGATTTGTCTTAAGTTATCACAAAGGGGAAGGAATTCATAACAGTTCTTCAAAACAGATATCAGTTACTTCCAAAGAAACTCTTGCAGACAGAATTAATAACACTTTAATTCATTTGTCAGTTGATGGGTAACATTTGGAAGTCATCCATAGTTATCTATTTGCCTGGAGGAAATTGCTTTCCTCTTTTACTGACTTATGAAGTCTGGCTGAGATAGAATTTACATCAGCAGAATATGCATATATAATCCTATAGCCTAGACATTTTCTATAAATTCCATGAAAAATGTTTCAAAAAGATGCCCTTCTTAACAGCCCCTTAAATATGAGTTAAGGGAGAATAAAAAGGTTTGTGGAGTAAAGAGTGCAAAACAAGTTGCATTGTATGTCAAGTGATGGCATGATGGCAATACAAACTTTCTTTGGTTTCTCCTTTTTTCCATTAAAAGGGTAAAAAACTTTTTGACCTGAACCATTGATTAGTTCATTTTCTTAAGAATATCAAAGATAGAGAAAACAGACTTTTGATGGAGATTTAAAACCAAAAACTTTCACAAATTGCTACAAACTGTAAAACAAAGTCTTCTACAATTATAGCATAATTCAAAAGCCATGTCCATTACAACAAGTTTACCAAGTGAAAGAAAAGAAAAGCTTAAAATTTCTTCTCAAACCCGGTAAAGAACAATTTCATCCAAATGATCTGTTAATTAGAGAATTCCCAGTTCAGTAGGATAGGATCAATATAGGAATAGCCTAAAAGTGACCTAGAAACTGTTTTCTTAATTAGCAGTCTTAATGTTTGTTTCATAACCATTGCCATACATATATAATCAGAGCCAATTCTCCGACAATCCTTTAAAATTTCGTTCAACTTCAATTAAACATGTATTAAAATAGAAAAGTTTCACAAAAGGGAGATAAAGGAAGAACAAAAAAATATTGTTAAAATTGCCGTACAGCTTTTCATATAGGAATATTAACAGTACACGAGTCTCTAGAAATAGCCATCAGCCAATGATTTTTCTGTCTCCCCTTTAGCAGACAGCTTTATTGATAAAATGTTCTATATTGCCTGCCAGACCTGATAATTGCCTTCAATACCATCAAGAGGTATAGCCTTTTTATTCATTAGGCCACCCCAGAACCATAACTTCACCAGTAAGCATTGTAGCCAGACAGGACCGTATATTTTTTGCCTTCAATCTCAATATTACCTTTAATGATATTATTTGCACAAGCTTATTGTATTCGATGTGAAATTGATGGCCTATGTTAGTTAATTCCGTATTACAGCGTTTTCTCCCCCCACATCCTGTCAAGATGAATTATTTCTGCTTTTTAACCAATTGAAATTTAAGAAAGTCTTGTTATTTTATAACAATAGAACACATAGTACATGTACAACTGCAAATGCAACTGTAAACATATTTAAATACCAGATTATATATGAAATTTTACACTCAATGCTTTGTAATGGTTGGTTCCAGGAATAGAATCAAGAGTGTTTCAATAAGCTTAATGCTTCCAACACAATCAAACTAAATTAAATTTGTAGAAGAACAAAAGACAACAAAAAGCATGTGTTTATGTGTCACAGTGTGCGAGTCTGCATATGTTTAATCAAAAAAGAAAACCATATGTTAAAATTAATTTTACTATAATGAAACAGAAAATATTATTTAACTTTTTTTTTTCCTTCATCATCATATTTCACTCCAAAATCATAGAAGCAAAAAACAATATTCCAAAGTTCTGAAATCTTGATCCATATTGCAAACTAAAGAAATTTTATTTCATTGGTGTGCATCATCATAGTGCATTTTGCTGCCACATTAATAACCAGAAATAAATTTTATTAACTGTATATATTTTCATATGTGTATTTCATTTCTAAACAAAGGTATATCATGGGTTATATCATTCATGTGTATACTGGGTGTATTTTCTTTATGTATATCATGGGTTATATCATTCATGTGTATACTGGGTGTTTTTTCTTTATGTATATCATGGGTTATATCATTCATGTGTATACTGGGTGTATTTTCTTTTATGTATATCATGGGTTATATCATTCATGTGTATACTGGGTGTATTTTCTTTATGTATATCATGGGTTATATCATTCATGTGTATACTGGGTGTATTTTCTTTATGTATATCATGGGTTATATCATTCATGTGTATACCGGGTGTATTTTCTTTATGTATATCATGGGTTATATCATTCATGTGTATACTGGGTGTTTTTTCTTTATGTATATCATGGGTTATATCATTCATGTGTATACTGGGTGTATTTTCTCTATTATGTATATCATGGGTGCATTTAAGCAGTGCATTTCATCTGCTTACATCATGCATATATATTTTGTTTGCTTATTTCATGCACATATACTATTGGGTGTTTTTATTGGTGTCTCCCTCTCGTTTATCTTATATGTGTGTATCATGCATACATTCCATTGCTGTGCATCAAGGATGTTGTTTTTTTATTAAGGTTTATTTTATTGATGTACATCATCATAGGTGTGCTTCATCACTGTATACCATCTGGTGTATGGATGTATTTGCATGTTAAATAGTACTCCTACATCATGTCATTAGGAAAGCTAGAAGGTTGAATAGTTCTCCTGTATGGTGTAGATTATCATGTCACTAGGAAAGTTAGAGGGTTGAATAGTTCTCCTGTATGGTGTAAATTATCATGTCACTAGGAAAGCTAGAAGGTTGAATAGTTCTCCTGTATGGTGTAGTTCTAACTATACAACCTACTACCTCATCTAGTATCCATGCTTTCTGTCAAGTTTCCCCTTCCAGTATTACTGCTATCTTCTGTATGGTCCAATATCCACTGCTTATTTCCTGATGGTCCAATGTCCATTGCTTTCTTCTGCTTGGTCCAATATTCCACTGTTTCTACCAAAGGGTCTGATATTGCCTGCTTTCGTCTTGATGTTCCAAATCCATTGCTTTCTTCAATATGGTCAAAAATATCCATTGCTTTTTTCTGTATGGCCAAATATTCATTGCTGTTTCTGTATGGTCCAATATCCATTGCTTTTTTCTGTATGGTCCAATATCCATTGCTTTCTTCTGTATGGTCCAATAGCTTTTTTTCTGTATGGTCCAATATCCATTGCTTTCTTTTGTATGGTCCAATATCCATTGCTTTCTTCTGTATGGTCCAATATCCATTGCTTTCTTCTGGATGGTCCAATAGCTTTTTTCTGTATGGTCCAATATCCATTGCTTTCTTCTGTATGGTCCAATATACATTGCTTTCTTTTGTATGGTCCAATATCCATTGCTTTCTTCTGTATGGTCCAATATCCATTGTTTGTTCTTGCCATGATTTCTGCTCATCTTTTCACCAGTATTCCTACTTCCTTAGTAAATATGTTTTCTTTTTCTTATTAACCAGTACTTATGTTTTCTTTTTAACTCAAATAATATTCTCAATAAAGATTCCACAAATTCTTGTTTGCCTTCTAGTTTCAGTCACTTTTCATCTTCAGCCAGCATCTTTGACTGTTTAATCCTGTTCATAGTATTCTTTTATTCACTGTAATAATGGTAAACTAGAGCAAACAGTTATCAGGATGTTGTCACCTGCAATACAGACCAGTAGGTACGAGCTTGCGAATATATCATACAAACCACAAGTTCGGATCTACGGGTTTATACAACAGATTACATTTAGACGTTGCTCTTTTCCAAAAGACAACTGGAAACCTTTGCTTCTATCATAATCCATTGAGGAACTTGTTCTTTATACAGCAGATCATGAGATGCTGAACAGGTAGGCATCAAAGCAAGTATGTCAATACATTTGTCTGTGGAGTGCTTCTTCAATGGTCTGTTAGGAAAATCATTTTTACCATGGTCAGGTCTGTGAAGTTAAGTGCACCTTCTACGGGCTGTTAGGGAAATGTTTCTTATTCCATGGTCTGTGAGGGAAGTGCTTCTTTTATGGGAAAATATTTCTTCAATGGTCTGTTAGACTTAGAGCAGAAAACTTGTACTTCTTCCATTATAATATTGTTGTTGCTCCATAAATCATGAAAAAAGTTGGTCTTCTTCCTGTGTCTATTGTTTTGTTGTTGTTGTTTTTTCCCCCATGGATCCTTAAGACTTGTCCCTCTACATTCTGTGCCTATGAATTGCTCACAGAAGTAGTTACTTTTAAAGTAAACTTAAATTGCTAAACAGGTATAAAACAATTTTTCAATATGGAGTACACACTGTAGATGATGATATAATACATAAAGGTCCACCTACACACAGACCAATTAGTTATTTGCTGCTAATTTCCTTTTTTGTTTGTACCAGTTCTATTTCTGATACAGGGACAATTGCTACCATAACCAACTGCTTACTTAATATGGCAATCAGCTGGATTGCAATTTATAAATGCTGGCAAATTCTGCAGCAACAAACCAGTCCTAAATGATATGCTTACCTTTATGACAACTGTCTACAACTAGCACAACTTTCTTCTGACAACATGACACCTGAAAATACACAAGAAATGTATTGTAGTCATATAATCAAATTTTGTGACAGAGCTTTATATTCAAAACATTCTGCCTTTTTTAAATTGAAATAATTTCCGAAAGTAAAATGCTACAATCAAGCAGTTTACCAACCATTATCAGATCATAACTTATTCTATGTGCTGGTTAGGCTGGACTCCATACTAGTGCCAAATGCCTCACATAATGCACCCATCCAATAGTAGTCAATTTATATCATTATGGAAAAGTATGACATTTTTTAATACTGGATCCATTAAAAGAGAAAATATACCTTGATTTTTGCTTTATTGATGAAGTAAATTGGCTCAGCAGCTGACATATACATGATAATAACATTTTTTTCCGATATAATTATCATGTACAAGCAATTGTTGTTTGACACAACTCTATCAAATCAAGACGGGCACTAGTGATTGGATGATTATACAGTGTATATATATTACAACAGGTCACATACAGTAAAATTAAAACAGATAAAATTGCTTTTATTGTATATATAGTTTCTATGCCAACACTTGTATAAGAATAAATAGATAAGCTGAGCTCAGCAAATCAGTCCACTTGGGATTTCCAGCTATGTAATGATCGGAACTGTCTATTAAGACTTCAAGAAATCAATTGCCTAAAGCCCCTCACGTGAACACTTAACCAAGGGGAAAAAATCCTCAGACAATGTGACATATTTCTACTGTTACCATGGAAACCTAGAATTATAATACATTTTTTTCTTTTTCTTTTCCTCTAAGCCTTATCCTATGCCACAACATACACTGATTTCTTCTTTTGCTAATGTACCAATTGTCTAGACTATTGATGGAACTAATCCCTAGGCTTGATGGATTCACCGTTAACAAATAACACTGAATCGCCGTTAACAAACAACATGGAAACGACCAATGACATTTCTCATCAACTACCGCGCAGACACCTTCAGAATCTATTTGCATATACAGCAAATTAAGGAAATTTACTTCACTCTACCCGATGAAGCTCAAGTTCCTGAATAAAATGTAATCAAATTGGAAAATGTTTACAGTAACAGAATTGTGAAACTTTCCACAGACTTAACAAGTAAAAACCAATCTCAGTCAAAGTAAGCACCTTCTTTGCTTGGTAAATGTTCGATGCCACAACTTTAAAAATCATACATTATTAATCTGTCAGTAATGTTCTCCGTTTTCAAGTTAAGACTATTTTCGCTTCCTTCTTTTCCTATTTTTTATTCATTTTCTTTTTTTTCTATTTTTTATTCATTTTTTCTTATTTTTCTGTTTTTACTATCATTTCATTATTCTTTTTTTTTATAAATGTATATTTATACATATTTTTATATAGATATTATAGTGCTGGGAAACGCCCTTCAAGGAGTGCCTGAAACTGATGATGAATCTACTGAACATATATCTATATAGATATTATATATTTAACAACTGAATTTAAAACTCTTACAATTTAGGTAAAAAAAAAAAAACTAAATTAAGAAGCTCTGTAATTAACAATCTATCATCTCAAAAAGATTTCACCAAATGCAAACATACATATTGATACGAAGATTAAAGTTTAGAAGAAGCGCATAAATTATTCTTTCTTACCCATGTGCGTGTAATTAAAAGCCATGTCACATCCGTCGTTTTAAACCAAAATATATTAATCATTTTGTAAATTACCTTAAAACAACTCGAAATTTGGCAAACAATTTACATGCAATTCCATTCTTAAGTGATGTCTAAAGTGACAGCCGTGCTACATGTCTACCTGTCGCTCATTTGAAAATTGTTTTCTGCCACGCGCCAACAGCGTTAAAATATATATATATATAATGCATACAAAGACATCATATATATATATATATATACTGCATGAATACATTTTAAAGTCTGATGAGCTGCTCTACGACACTGTAATGACTGCGTAAATCAAGTATATAGTTGCCACTCTGAAGGTGCGAAATTAATTCCATAGATTTCATTGATTTTAAGCTATTGACTAGACTGTACTAGGAATATTCCAATTAAACCATAAATATCGAACCAACATGAAAGGATTTTCACCTGCTCTAGTGTCTCGCAACGAGAATTAATTAGGTCAAGCCGTCTGTACACTGAAAACTGGCACATGACCTTAGAATAACTTTCAGATTAAAAGGCTGCTCAAAAAGAACAATTAATTTAAAAGGAATCAAGATCTTTGGAAGTTCTGAACATAAAAAAGATGAAAAAACACACAAGAACGATAAAGAAAAAAGCAAAGACTACAAAAAACGATTTGAAATATTTTCAGACAAAGCCAAGAATTCAGGAGAGGATGTCTTCTGAAATTCTCATAAATTGAAAGTTGAAACCGAGATTTTTTATGTAAAAGATCAACTAAACTTTCTTTTCTCAAAATAAGACATAACAAAAAATTTGGCATACAGAATATCTGATTATCAACAATCCTTCAATTCAAACTCTTTTAAACAAAGCACCTTGCCTGTAAAAGCAATTGAGTATAAGCTGGGTGTCTTTTCCATTAATATCACCAAGTATGACAATAAGAATAATCAAGCGAATATTACAAAATACAGAACAGTATGATGTCATGCTTGTTCTTCATTAAACTAATCAAATAAACAAGAAAACTAACCAACAATACGTCATGCTGAGTCAATGCTTACAAATTATTTCTGATTCAGAAGCTTCCAATTCTGAGAACAAATTAGTCGATGACCAACAGTCTAGCTTTATTACCAAGACAGCGGTGGATTCAAAGCAAACATTTCCCATGCAAGTCAGCAGCAACTATCACAGAACATACTTAACACATCAGCGAATGTTTCTAAATTCAAAATTTCACCATTTTAACTGAGTCTGCAACATTTTTCAATTTTGTCTTGTTGTATGTTCTTTAAGGATTTTGTTTTTGTCTATATGACTCTTCAAACTGTTTGATTGAATATAATTCTATCAATAACCTGCTACATGGATAGGACCTACCAGTCTGCCCTTGTACACGAGACAACAATTTAGCGTTAGAGGTAGTGGGGTAAAGGGGGAAAAGATTTACAAGATAAGGAAAAGCAGCTGATAAGATGTACCAAAATTCGAGGTCTAAACCCTTTTTTCAATAAAACAAAATTCTCAGACATCTATGCATCGACTCCAAATGAATATCTCAAATGCCAAAACTTGTACAAACTATTCAGCGTCATGTTTATTTGTCTTTTCTGCATCAGACAAGAAAGATGCACTGTTGGCATTGTGACCCCCATCTCTTTCTAACGATTTCTTGAAGAAACAATAAGACAACAATATACCACATCAAATAGAAGTGAAAAAAAGTAAACTTGGAGAGTTTATAGCTATTTCTTAATGGTTCTGCCATCGTTCTTTTCAAGAAATGCAGACAGAAAGCAACATTTTTTCAAGATACAATTATGAGCCTCTCTCAATCCGACTGGGTTGTTGGATTTCAATTAAAGCCCAGACTCAAGTAAATCATCTCCAAAACTGATCCTGTAACATCTGTGGCTTTTCAATACTGGCTAGACATTCTCTGAAAGCAATAAGCAGCACGCAAATATAAAAATGTCATACGGCCATATTAATAAAACCACTCTGATCGCGACATTCTAGTCTTAACAAATATACTTCCATCTTTAATACACTATTTTTTTCTTATTTTTTGGGAATAATTCTTTATGCATACAATAGAATCATTCCTTAAGTGAGTCTGTGTTATAAAACTTCTTTAACTTTTTGTGTCCCAGACATTATTAGTAATAAATCATCGCAAATTATATCTTAACTAATAGATGGGGATAATTCTTGTCTCAAATTTCCATTTTTGAGTTCAAATATAATATTTATACTAGCGTCATAAAAAAAAAGTTCTAAAAAACATTGCAAGCCCTTATTTGTTTACAAACTTGCATGCATAACTGCAATAACAGTTTGTAAGAACAAACTTATGCATAAAGAATGAAGTGGTATAGACAAGATATGATATATATTATATACGATTTCCCAATGTGGGATGGATCATTAATCGGGAGAAACGCATTATCATCAACAATGGCGCAAACGTGTCAAAGTCTAGACATCTGGATCAGTCATCTATGAAATCACTTTTCCGCAATTAATGGAAAACCGGCAAGTTTAATCAATACTGTGACACTTACAATAGATTTTATAATCATTATTGAATACAGCCTACACTCCATTGTAAAGCCATCTTTGTCACAATGTATCTTTTTCTTTCTTATCATTTGTAATTAATAAATTGTTTGTTTTTTTTTACGCTTGTTGTAACACGTTTTTGGTCATATCTCAGAAGTCAGTCAAGCTAACCTGCGTTCCTGGATGACAAACCAGTAATTAATCATTTTTTCACCCAGCGAGGCGACCAACTTCTAATCCTGCACGAGTCCAATATCAAATATCAGAGAAATTTTGTCTCGCACTAGGACTGAGCCAGTGTCCTTGGAACCTTGGATTCTGTTGCAATTATGACATTATGGTTTTTATAAAATTTAATTAAGTGACATGATAATGTCTATTCTTTAGAGAAAACTGGACACCAACGTTAGATACCTTCATTAGCAGTAATATAATGTTGATCAATTTTAGTAGTTTCTGTAATGCTTTCTTCATCTTTGGTTTTACAAGAACAATAAATTTGTGATAAAGTATCTGTCAACGTGGCAAGAACAAACATTTCTGTCAACAATACGACCACCATCTCCATCTTAGTCAGGTTTTCTATGACCATCAATATAGCGCCACAGAACATTTTCAAAATTGGTGAAAAAAGGCGGATTTGTCTAGCCATACGATTAGAGACCAAAAATGTCAATCAATAGTGTAGCCAATGTTAGACCATCCCGTGGAGACAGCAATAGCTAGACAAGAAAAAATAACCTTGTATCATTAGGAATTGATCATGAATGTATCCTGTCACAAAATGTAGATTGGACATTAGATCAATAAGTCTGTCTG